ATGATGGTAGAATAAGAGTAAACGGTTTTTTATATATATTAACAATACTGGGAAGCCTTTACCTACTACAGAATAATGATAATGATAGAAAGAATGATGATAATGATAATAATTATAATAATCTGTACACCTGTAAGAAACTTTGGATTATAGATTACATTTATATTTGGTGCGGATAATGGTTCGGGAATTGGGTTCATCAAAGGCTTTTGTCGCATTGACCAGACAGCAAAGGAAACTGCCACCATTTAACACCAGTGCTATATTGGTATCCGCCATGATCTATCACCAACCTAACGCCTTTGTCTATAATCTATCGGTTCCAGTAAAACGTCTTATCGAGATGTTCTTTGCGATGGTTCTCACTGTTACGTAATTGTTTGATAAATGTGATTTGCCTCCTGTAAAGTAGTAATTTCCGGAGATTTCAATTGTTCCTTTGAAGTATCGTTACAGTAGGAAGTTACCACTGGTTCATAAAAATATTCGACAGCAGCGAGAGGCCCAGTCAGTGAATATGGTTTTACAAATGAAATTGTATTGTTGTATTTTCTGATCTATTTCGTTGGTCCAGTTTTCTCTGTAGTGTTGTAAGTCATTTTGATATTATTTATTATATATTACTTAAAAACACCAAAGGCCTATGAGTGATAATTTCCCATCTGCATTTTCGTGGTTATATATTGTTATATTGTGCACTTGGCTAACCGCCGACACAACTCATCGCTGGTGGTGCGAGTGAAGGGGAAGAGGAGGGCCGAACATTTGGTTCTCCCTCCTTGGCACGATGAAATGCTTCCGCGCCCAACGAGTGGATTTGCTAGTCCCTGCGTGTTCGTTTACCGTGCATCGTGTCGCGGTTTTTGATGAGTCACGTTCCCGCCAAGCCACGTGTTCCCATTCTAAGGGAATATGGCCTCGAGATTCCTGTGACGTTGAGGAGCAGCCCAGATTAATCCCCTCACAGAATATACCCGGGTATAATTTGGGCTACCCCAGAATAACCCCCGAGTATAATTGGGCCTAGCCTACTTTATACATTGCTCATTGCTCTGAATACAAAATAGGCTAGCCTAAACTATACGCCCCTAGGCCAGAATACAACCCCCGCTACAATCAGTAGCATTTTTTTTTACCAGAACAACTTTTGTTCGGGTTAGCAAGTCATTATATATTCATCCGACTTCAAAATAGCAACAAAGAATGATGAATGATATACTTTTTAAAATGAGGCCCATCAAAATTTTCATGCAGGTAAAATAACTCGTCTGGTATAAGTGTTACAAAGGTGTTGTAAAGAACGAATCGGGTGATAATGACACCTAAAAGTTCTTAATTGATAAATTTCTAACTTTCACATTTTAAAGAGGTCGTACTGCAAATAAGTGCTAAAATACTCGGAGATCACAGGTGCGCCAGGGATTAATCGATTTCTCTTATTTGAGTCTTTAAAATGTCTAAGACGGGCATTCTTTATTAAACAAAAGAAGTCTTCATGAAATTGTTTATTCGCTCAACATCATGAAAATGTAAGATGTTCAACAAAATGCTTTAATGAAACCCACAAATACATGCTTTATATTAATACTTGATACTGACCGACATAATGTTAATAATAATAGTAATAGTAATGATGTTAATGATAGTGGCATTGTTTATGATAATAATAATTAAAATAATAATAATAATAATGGCAATGATAATGATAATAGCTATAAGAGAAATATTTCTAACAATAATAACGATCATCATTATGATTAAAACTAATGATGATAATTATAATGTAAATGATGATGATGATGATTTTAATGATAATAATGATGATATTAGTACTACTGCTAATAGTTATTATAATGATGATAATCATGATAACAACAGCAATACTAATAGTACACAGGCCATATAAAGTCGGAGATTAGTATAAATATATGTATATATATATATATATATATATATATAATATGTATGTGTGTGTGTGTGTGTGTGTGTGTGTGTGTGTGTGTGTGTGTGTGCGTGCGCGCACATACATACATACATATATACATATATATGTATTATATATGTATATATATATATATGTATATGTATATATATGTATTATATATATATATTATATATATAATTATTATATATATTATATATACACACACACACACACACACATATATATATATGTGTGTGTGTGTGTGTTGTGTGTTTTTGTGTGGTGTGTTTTATTTAAATATTTATATGTACTTTTATATATATGCATAACTACGAAAATGGTTAATACCTTTCAGTTTTGGCTGCCGTTGATTGAATAGTTGCAAAATATGCATGTCATTTTTTCTAAACAATGCAGCCTGTACAATATGCAAAATATTAGAATTCAACGCTCAATGTAGTTGTAAGATCAGTGCATGATCAGCATTAACACCAGCAATTATCTTCCTGCAGTGTATTAATATGATTATTACACGCAAATAGGAAGGGGTATATTCTGGCCCAGAGGGTATATTTTGGCCTAGCCTAGCCCACTTTATATCTGGGGGTATAAACTGGCCTAACCTAACTTAAACCCCAGATATAAAACAGTCTAGCCTAAAATAATCCCAGGGATATTCAGGGAGGGGGTTATAGTATGGGCTGTTACACTGGCTTAACCCAACTTATACCCCGGGTGTGAAACAGCCTGGCCTAAAATACATCGGGTATATTCTGGGCTGTTACACCGGCACCCCCGCGCTTGCGCCATCGCCCTTGACCTACTACATTTGTTGCGTCATGGCTCGGTTTCACTTTCAGCCGAAGTTGCAAAGTTCACCCCTGCAAGAGCCTTCTGCTCCAAGTACCAGCTATTAAGGAGGCAATTTTCTCTTGCTTTGGTTTCAGCCAATATTAGATATGGGGAAAATAATGGAAAGAAATCACAAAAGATCTATTTCCAGATGGCCTAAATGACTTTCGAGATGGAATACATTCCAATTTATATTTGAAAGGTATCTTTACCCATCGTAATGCCTTGCTTACCGATAACTATTGCTTGGTGGAATGGCGCCGAAAAGATTTGACAGGTTCGTGACCCGCGACGCTCGATGCTTTGATGCGAAGGTTGTGGGAAGACTTCGACGATCTGGTGATTATCGTGTCACGGGTTTTTTAATGCCGTTCAGCCACTGCGTTTCACTCTCGCTCCCTTCTCTCTTCCTCTCTTTCTCGTTCCAGTCATCTGCATGTCTCTCCAACTTCGGTCGTTCAGTTAATCCCGCAAGATATGGGGAATATGATGTAACTTTCAACATGACCATTAGAAGTATCTAATGCACTGTAGCAGGGTCGAAGTTCCCGCTACTTGAAACATGAAATTACATTTTCACTTTCCACTAAAACAATCGTCACAGGCGTTCTTAACTCAATTGAAATAAGTTAAGTCTACTGCTGACAGTCAAGCGCATTGTTTATTTCTGTGCTAAAAATGTTATCAATGCTACTAAGAAACGCACAAACGAATACATGCAAAATCTTCAGGCAGTCCCCCCCCACACACACGAGAGTGGAGCTAGTGTTTTTCGATAATGATACAAAGACCATATTCGCCGGTTGACTGCTCTAGCCTAACAAGAGAAAGTATGCAGTATCTACACCTTGTTTAGCTTGTTATATTCTCTTGCCAGTCCTCGTTCCGAGGAGCCTGCAAAGGCCTTTCTCTGATTCCTTGGCTCATTACTTGGCCGTGAGAGAACATAGAGTGAACCAAGCAAATAGCACTTCGAATCCATTTGATATTTGTTTTTGCATACATAATTGTTGCCAAACTTATATATTAAATACTTACATGTAGCAGTGTACGTAGTACCATACAAAATAGGCATTTTTATAATTTTGTAAATAACTGAAGTAGAGACATTTCAGTGGCCCAGTTTCACATCCCAAAGCTGTATTTCTGACACATGTAAGACGAAATGGAAATTGCAATGTTTATTT